CTGTCCCTGCCTTACCCCAGTCCCTACTCCTGTCCATGCTTCTGCCCCGTCTCTGCCTTGCCCCTCTTCCTGTCACTGTCTCTGCCCCTGTCACTGTCCCTGCCTTTCCCCTGCCGCGTCCCTGTCGCTTTTCTTGTTCCCATCCCTGTCCTGCCCTTGCTTAACCCTTGCCTATCACTTTCCTCTCTTCTGTCCCTGTYCCCGTCCTGYCCCGCTGCTGGTGGTGGCGTGACGTGCCGGGAGTGGCGTACAGACACCACTTTTTGGGTTACAAACCGCTGATTTTCATCCAAACGCACCGGAACATTGGCGTGTGCGCCGGGCAGGCGGCGGRTCGCTGCTGGAGGGCTGCCTCGGCCCGGAGGTGGCGACTGCCACCCTCGCCCCCATTCCACCACCCCGGGCCCCGCCGCAACCCCGGTGCTGCCCTCCCGCTGCCTCCCCGGTGCGCGTCCCCAGCCCCGCGGCTGTCCTGGAGCATCCCGGGGAGGACCCGCCGSGCAGCGGCTCCGCTCCCTGGTGCTCCAGGTTGTTCTCCGGCACAAAGCATCGGCAGGGATTGAGGTGGGGGAATCAGAAAGAGCTCCAGACCCGAAAGCGGCAGGTGGCACTGGGGACACGGGGCTGGCGGCGTGGCGGGAGGATGGATGAGACGTGGTGATAGTGGAGCCCTGGGGGTGGTTACCTGCGGATTAGGTTGAACCTGTCAGACACAGAGAATTCCCGAATGGATTAGGTTGGAACTTAAAGCTCAGCCCTACCCAGCTCCCTRCCATGGGCAGGGACACCTTSCACTATCCCAGGMKGKGCCAAGCCCGGTCCAACTTGGTCTGGAACATTTCTAGGGACATCTTCTTCTGTGATTATAGGTGATGGTGCCTCCCTGAGTAGGGAATGAGGCAGGATGAGCTCTCAGTGTTGCCTCCCTGAGATGGGAATAGGGCAGGATGAGTTGGGAATAGGGCAGGATGAGTTGGGAATGGGGCAGGATGAGCTCCCAGTGTTGTCTCCCCGCTGCCTGTGCAGACCAACCGCCCCAGCGAAGCACTGGGAGCTACTCCCCAGTGCTGTGCCGGAATTTCCGTGYCTGGTTTTCCACAATCCAGGTGTCCTGAGTCTTCCCAGTTTCCTTGCCGTGTCACTCCTGGCTCTGGCAAGAGGCAGAGGAGCCGCTSGCTGTCGTTGCTGTCGCAGCGAGGGGACGCGCTGGTGCCACGGCGGATTCCTGATTTCCGAGAGTGTTTTTCAGGAAAGGGGTGGGGGCGGCGCCTGGAACAGGCAGAGTAGCTGTCGGAGATCTGCTGCTTCCCAAAATCTCGGTGCAGCTCCCGCGGGAGATAAACAAGTTAGTCACTGGGTGAGCTCACGGCACAGGCATCCCGGCCTCCATGAGAATTTGTCACGGGCCCTTCCCGGGCTGCGATCGTGCCCCGGTACCGGCTCCCGGGAGGAGGCAGCGGATGCGAAGAGCAATCTCGTGCGCCTCGTGCTCGGGCCGTGCCTGTCGCCTGTCGCCTGTCCCTTGGTCCTTTGTGGCAGGAAGCACACGCCCCTGTCGCTCCGTGCCCGGGCACAGGCCCCGGACGAGCAGGGGCTCACCAGGTGCCTGCGGGATCCAGGCGTGTTCCCCACGGGAGTGATGGACGCGAATGAACGGGATCAGGGAGTGCCTCAGCTACTCAGAAGAGCTGGGCTGGGGAGCACGGGGGGCTCTGGGGAGGGGGGATCCCCTTCCCGTGGTGTCCCATGGCTGCGTTTGGGATGGGCAGTGCAGCAGCATTGGGGTGTCCCATGGTTTGTGCTCACAGGGTTCTTTCTCCTCAGGGTGTTGGAGCGTGGTCTCCTGAGCTCACTGGGATTTGTGGTCCCTCTCCGGGATTTGTGGTCCCTCCTGTGCCCTGCAGGGTTCCGTGGGCAGGGACAGRCAGTGCTGTGGCCCCGTTGGAGGAGGCCAATGTCCCCCTCAGGTGCCCAGTGCTCCGGAGATGCACCTGCTGCTTGGCCTCAGCACGTAGGAATGCATTTGCTGGGAAAGAAAATGCCTGGGAGCTTTCTGGGGATTTCCCAGGCAGAGCCAGGATCTGGGATTTTTCTGCCCTCCGCCTTCTCCCCTCCTTCCTCACTCACACACTGCTCCCTGGGTCACAAACGGCTTTAAAAAAAGCAACAGCCCACACAATGCTCTTCCCTTCTCCAGCGGGTGCTGGTGACGAGATCCCGCATCCGGTCCAGGGGATCCAGAATTAGCCCTCTGCCTGGGAAAGGCCCTGCCAGGCCCTGCCCGTCGGTCCCACACTGCAMGGCTCCCATGGCCACACGTGGAGGAAAGGGACTCCGGATCCTACAGGTGCATCCTCTGCTGGGCCTGCTCTCTTGAGTCGTGCAAGAAATCCATCCCCCTTCCCAGCCCCACGATTTTTCAAGGAGGTGGCCTTGGGGGTGCTGATGTCAAGCAGAGCTTTGGATGACGTGCAGGGCACACACAGGTTTCTCTCTGTGCTTGGGGGATGTTTCTGGACAAGATCAGGACAGGGAATTCAYATTGTCCAGGAAATGTGGCAATTTCAACAAGAGCAGCAGCAATCAAAGGAAGCTGAGCCAAGAGGAAGTTTCCGGAAATGGTTTGTAGGACAGAAGTTCTGAAAARTATCACTGTGGGTGTTGGAACAGTTTAATGAATGACCCACCTCAACCACACCCAACACGAATTATTCCACAAAACCCCACACAACCCATCCAGTGGAAGCCAACGTGAGTGACCCGAGCCAACATGAATGACCTGAGCCAACATGAATGACCTGAGCTAACATGAATGACCTGAGCTAACATGAATGACCTGAGCCAACATGAATGACCTGAGCCAACATGAATGACCCGAGCCAACATGAATGACCTGAGCTAACATGAATGACCTGAGCCAACATGAATGACCTGAGCCAACAAGCATGACCCACCCCAACCCCAACTGACATGAATGACCCACCTCAATGCAATGTGAATGACCCTGCATGACCCAACACAACACAAATGATCCAATGTAATCCAATGTGAAAGACCCATTTCAATCAAGCCGACAGGACTGACCCAGCACAACCCACCATGAGTGACCCACCCAACACAGCCCACCACGAATGATCCACCCTGACCTAACCCAACCCAACGCCACCCACCTCAACCCAACTCAACAGGAATAATGCACCTCAACCCAACACAAATGATCCAGTGTAACTCAGCATGAATGACCCATCTCAACCCAATAGGAATGATCTACCTCAAACCAATCCAACAAGAATGACCCAACACAAGCAAGCCTGACAAAAATGACCCACCTCAATCSAACCCTACAGAAATTACCTAACCCAATCCAACAGGAATGACCCAACACAACCCAACCTGGTACAAATGACCCACCTAAACCCAACCCAACAGGAATGACCCAACCCAACTCAGTCCCTGTACAGAAAACTCCAACTTCTCCCAGCCAAGACAACATGASTGGCTCCCAAACCTCCTCCCTTGGGTCCCAGGACCCAGCAGCTCTTCCACCTCCTGCTCTTCTGCCACAGAGCARTTTTTTCCAGGGATCCCAGCAAATTCCCTCATCTCTTCCAGTGTCTCAGCTCTGGGAAAATGTGGACTGACCCAAGCCAGTCCAACACAGATGACCCACCTCAACCTAACCCAAYCCAACAGGAATGATCCAACCCAATCCAGCACTAATGACCCAAACCAGCCCAACTCAACTTAAATGATCCATTCTAATGATACAACCCAACCCAATGTGAATGATGGAAGCCAGCCTGACTCAACACACCCAAACAAAACCTATTGTCTAGGACACAACACAGCAAGGAAAACCCAACAAAAATCCAGAGGGCCTTCTAGAAAACTCAAGGAGAGACGAGTCCACAGACTGGAGCTCCAGTTGGCTGGTCCTGACCAACCCTTGCTGCAAGGTTGCTGGAATGAAATAAGAAGAGGAAAATGATCTCTCCCACTGGGACTTCACCTCCAAACAGGCTGTGCATTCCTGGTGAGACGTGATTGTGTGTTGAGGACCTGGGAATACAGGGAGAATTCCTGGTGATCCAAGGRCTATCGGAGCCAAGGGGCTTGTGCTGGTCCCTTGGGCTGCACGTGGGGCCACTTGTGGCATT